TACACGATCGAAAAAATAGAAATCACGCCATTTCATGCCGAGAAGTTCCCAGTTGTCAGGATGTACTGGTATGTTACGAAAGGCGGATTTAACATCGGTTTTGGCCATGAAACATTTTGGACCGAGCTTTAGAAGGATTCTTATAGCATCATCTAGGCGTACATATTGTAGCGAATATTCCTCGGACGAAATGTTCGCATTGACGCTGGCGTTGGAAGTTTTTGGATACGACAAGTGGAAAATTGTTCTCCATTTTGACGAATTCTTTTTAGGAACGAGACCCAAAGGGTAAATTTGAAAATTTTGAAATGGGGGTGAAGTGAAAGGCCCAATAGTGTGACCTTGTTTGACTTCGTCGAGTAAATTACTATCAACGGTTTCCGGCAAGAGGTAAGCGGTTTTTAGATTTTTTGAAAAATAAGGCTGACGAGGCCCGTGATAACCAATTTTAAACCCGTCCCTCAAGCCCGAACAGAGGCCGAAGACAAATTCACGATCTGGGTGGTGAGTTAACAGAGATTCAAGTAAATTAACTTTAATTGGTGTAAACCTAGGGTTAAGCTAATCCAGCCTTGGACAACTGGCCCCTGGAGAAAAATTGATTGTACAGTCTTAAATTTATCTATATATGTAAGCTATAATTATATATTTACTGATAAATACATTTACTATTCTGATCTAATATTTCTTCGTATTAAATTATTTATGGCTTCAAGTGAACATGACAGAGGTACAGTTGCAGCAACGAGATGTTGCAGAAGAGGAAATAGTTTTATGCAAGAGATAAATCTCACTTGGTGGCAGTTATGTTTATACGTATCTGTTTGGTAGATAATATGCAGATAATTTTCTCTGTAGGGAAACTATACTGTCACATAACTGTGGCAGATATGTTATTGGGCAAAATACCTATATGTTGCAGATATGTGACAGATATTTGTCATATAACTGTGACAGATATGTTATTGGGCCAAATTCCTATATGTTGCAGATATGTGACAGATATCTGCCACATAACTGTGCCAGATATCTGTCACATAACTGTGACAGATATGTTATGGGGCCAAATTCCTATATGTTGCAGATATGTGACAGATACTTTCGTACATATATTTTGCAGATATTTTACAGAACTGTGACATATATCTGTCACATATCTGTCAGTCTGGTAAGGGAATGAGCCATGTGGGCCATGTGTCTTAAAATTCTGTTGAATGTTTGAATTTGCCACGTTCAATTTGCATATAAGACATACAAAATGTTGGTTTCTGGCAGTAAAGAAAGAATGAAATATAAATTCGAACCTATTATTGTGAATTCTATACTAAATTTCACACTATTATTAACAATTTAGCAATATTTTCTTTGGCATAATTTGGCACTTTGCTTAAAGTTAAGACTATTGTAAAGTTGGGTAAATAATTATATAAAATAATATATATTAAACATCCGAATGCTTTTAAAGATATGTTTGCATTTTAATACTTCAATAAGGATTGGAATCAGAGAGGAACGACAGCATTTAATGTGCTATTTTTAGTGTATCGATAATCGATCTTTAATGTGCTTGTAAAGTCTGTGGTTACATGAAGTGCAACACTAGATAAACATTAGTCCGCTGACCAAAATAGCCAAAAATACTATAAAAATGTGTTATTTATTTTATTAGTTTAGTTAGTTGTTTTAAGTTAATAGTCATGAATCAAGTTTATTTGTTGAAGATCAAGATCAATTTGTTATTGAGGCATATTTTCTTGTAAGTGTACTTTTATTTTGTGCTGTATTTGTCTAGTTTTATTGCTAATAATTTACTTGTATTTGTATACTTTGTATAGTGAATCGTACGTATTAAGAATATATCGCATAAAAGAATTGCCTCAGCCTTTTTATTTGTCTAAATGGGAAGCAAATGCTGTAGCCCTAACATCATTCAAAGAAAATGCTAAATACACGTTTGGATGTCAGGCTAGATGAGCAGAATATTAGAAAAGAAAGAGCGTTGCAACTGAGACGACATAGAGCTGGTCATCTGGGTGATTTCAGGAAAACATTTTCCACTGTAAAGGAGCTGTTGAATGAGGACACGAACATTGAAGTGCTTAATAGAGAAGTGGAAAGCTACGAGCGAGCCTTCTGTAAATTTGTAGATATCCATGAACAGTATTTGACATTTGAAGATGATGAAACAATAAAGAGTCTCCAGATTGAAAGTTATGAAAACAAAGAGACCTGAAGCATGGGTTGGAATTGACAATAAAAAGATTGAATAAAGAAAGAGGAGACCCAGCTTCATTTGAAGCTGCGGCGAGCCTTCACTCACATTCCGGGAAGAGTAAAAAGAGTAGCAGAGCTTCAACTAAGATGACTACAATCAGTGGAAGAATTCAAGTGGAAGAAGCAAATTTGAAAATGAAAGAACTTCACCAAAGACAGGTGATTGAGAGACAACTCGAAAGGACAGAGACCGATTACAAAAAACGTTTAGGAGAAATGGAAGAAGGGAAAAGATCTGAGAAAGCAGAACTTCAAAGAAGATTAGAGATGTTGAAAGCAGAAACAGAACTGGAAAGAGCAGTGACACTTCTGAGGTTTGAGGAAGATTTTGGTGATATCTTTGACGCAGCTGGGAGTGTGAAAGAGAAGCCGATCAGCGAGATAAGTTCTGATATGTTACCACTTAGAGATTACCTAACCCCAACAGTTCACAGTCCATGTCGACCGAGGGCAGAAAGCGAGTCTAAAATCCCTGTTGGAGATCCCTCCTCGAGCATTCCACCAAGGAATAAGTTTCCTAGTCCTGACCCAAGAGATCCTTTCCCACA